GTTACCTGACTATTGAGGCCGTCTTAGGAAAACCTGTAACGTTCATAGAGAACTTCATCAGGTAAATCAAACGGATTTGAACGATCATGAATATAACGCTCTCGGTGAAGCGCTCCTCTCACCATCCGCGCAGCGATGTCAACAATCTTGGCCCAATCTTTGACCAGCCCTGGCATGAACAACATGCTGCAGGGTCAGAGTTGACACGCTGCCTATAGCGAGCGCTTTTAACTTTGCTCGGCAGTGGCATCTGGTAAAATAAATTAAAATGACTTAAATTGATACATGAAAATTAATAAATTGCTAACAACGGCATAAATACCACAATGAAATGGCATGCTTTTAATATTTTTTTTCTTATTTTGTACAGAGATGACCTAACCATTATTTCAGAAATGTTAGCAAAATGACTCATCAAATAACAAAAAAAATTCAAAATAATACTAAAAATTAAGTACTTAGTGTTTATCAATCATCAATTGAATATAAAAAGCGTAAATACTGCCAATCGAGGGCATATATTTATGATGGAAAACAATCTGCAGTGGTTGCACCACATGATAATTGGTCGCACCACATGACATTTCAAATTTAGTCAAATCTTACTGATACAGGATTAGTCACATAAACAAACCTCACTAGATACCCACAAAAGGTCATTATGAAATTTATAATTAAAATACTTATTTGTGGAAATAACTTAAATTAATTGTTTTTTTTTAGGTCATACCACATGACATCAAGAAGTGCAAACACCATTACAGCAGTTGAAAAGGTCTTTTTTTTTTTAAGAAATGAGAGAGCCACCAACCCTCTTTCTGCTTCCATAGCTCTACGACAAATGGTGAATGATCCAACATCCTGTCCTTGAGTAAATTTTAGCATAAAAGTGTCAAAAATTGTCATTTTTTGATGGTCGCACCACATGATATTTAATGAAATGGACACGATCGGACAAAATTCGTTTGAATATTATGAAAATAATATAACTGCAAAAGCTTTGCAATTTTGTACAGGAATAAAAAACACTTTCAAAATTATGCCGAATATTGCAGAAACTAAATTGTAATAGATTTAGAGTAATTTCAAAGAAGTTTTAAAAACAGAAGTCATGGCCGGACGGTCGCACCACATGATATTTTGACCCTTTGAAGTTCAGAAAAATTACCAAAAACCCCTGATTTTTGAAAAGTTGAAGTGGCTCCATATATTAGAGAGATACTACACATAGATAGTATATTTTTTTACATTTAAAACTCTTGGTAACTTAAAGAAAATACAGCCGGACAGAATATTGAGGCGTCACGTCATTGACCCATATATACATATATATACATACATACTGTATATATACTGTATATATATATACATATGTATATACATATATATATACATACATATATTTTTATATATATACACACATATATATATATATATATATATATATATATATATATATATATATATACATGCATACATATATATATATTTATGTGTGTGTGTGTGTGTGTCCATTGAAGTTGGAAAATTGTGATAAACAAATAAAAACAGAATACATGATTTGCAAATCCTTTTCAACCTATATTCAATTGAATACACTACAAAGACAAGATAATTAATGTTCAAACTCATAAACTTTATTATTATTATTCATTTTTATTTTTTTGCAAATTATAATGAACTCAGAATTTCATGGCTGCAACATGTGCAAAAGTTGTTGGGACAGGGGCATGTTTACCACTGTGTTACATCACCTTTCCTTTTAAAGACATTCAATAAACGTTTGGAAACTGAGGAGACTAATTGTTGAAGCTTTGAAGGTGGAATTCTTTCCCATTCTTGCTTTATGTACAGTTTCAGTTGTTCAACAGGCCGGGTCTCTGTTGTCATATTTTATGCTTCATAATGGGCTACATGGGAGAAAGGTCAGGACTGCAGGCAGGCCAGTCGAGCAACCGCACTATTTTAGTTGTAACATGTGTAGAATGTGGCTTGGCATTGTCTTGCTGAAATAAGCAGGGGTGTCCATGTAAAAGATATTGCTTGGATGGCAGCATACAGTATGTTGCTCCAAAACCTGTATGTACCTTTCAGCATTAATGTTACCTTCACAGATGTCTAAGTTACCCATGCCTTGAGCACTAATGCACCCCCATACCATCACAGATGCTGGCTCCTACGGCCACCCGGCGGAGCCCCCGGGCCTTCGTCCTCCGGTGCCTTCGCAGCGAGCCGGTGTCCTGGTTTAACTGGTGATCATATTAAGTGGTGAGATTTTAGGTAAATCTGAACCAGATGTTGGCTGTTCCGCAGAGTCGCCACAAAAGCCTCAGTCCGAACCGAACGGTCGCCGGCAATTCCAAGGAAAAAAACTCCACAAACATCAGCGCTTTTCACATACACTCACCGGCCACTTTATTAGGTACACCATGCTAGTAACGGGTTGGACCCCCTTTTGCCTTCAGAACTACCTCAATTCTTCGTGGCATAGATTCAACAAGGTGCTGGAAGCATTCCTCAGAGAGCTTGGTCCATATTGACATGATGGCATCACACAGTTGCCGCAGATTTGTCGGCTGCACATCCATGATGCAAATCTCCCGTTCCACCACATCCCAAAGATGCTCTATTGGATTGAGATCTGGTGACTGTGGAGGCCATTTGAGTACAGTGAACTCATTGTCATGTTCAAGAAACCAGTCTGAGATGATTCCAGCTTTATGACATGGCGCATTATCCTGCTGAAAGTAGCCATCAGAAGTTAGGTACATTGTGGTCATAAAGGGATGGACATGGTCAGCAACAATACTCAGGTAGGCTGTGGCGTTGCAACGATGCTCAATTGGTACCAAGGGGCCCAAAGAGTGCCAAGAAAATATTCCCCACACCATGACACCACCACCACCAGCCTGAACCGTTGATACAAGGCAGGATGGATCCATGCTTTCATGTTGTTGACGCCAAATTCTGACCCTACCATGCGAATGTCGCAGCAGAAATCGAGACTCATCAGACCAGGCAACGTTTTTCCAATCTTCTATTGTCCAATTTCAATGAGCTTGTGCAAATTGTAGCCTCAGTTTCCTGTTCTTAGCTGAAAGGAGTGGCACCCGGCGTGGTCTTCTGCTGCTGTAGCCCATCTGCCTCAAAGTTCGACGTACTGTGCGTTCAGAGATGCTCTTCTGCCTACCTTGGTTGTAACGGGTGGTTATTTGAGTCACTGTTGCCTTTCTATCAGCTCGAACCAGTCTGGCCATTCTCCTCTGACCTCTGGCATCAACAAGGCATTTCCGCCCACAGAACTGCCGCTCACTGGATATTTTTTCTTTTTCGGACCATTCTCTGTAAACCCTAGAGATGGTTGTGCGTGAAAATCCCAGTAGATCAGCAGTTTCTGAAATACTCAGACCAGCCCTTCTGGCACCAACAACCATGCCACGTTCAAAGTCACTCAAATCACCTTTCTTCCCCATACTGATGCTCGGTTTGAACTGCAGGAGATTGTCTTGACCATGTCTACATGCCTAAATGCACTAAGTTGCCGCCATGTGATTGGCTGATTAGAAATTAAGTGTTAACGAGCAGTTGGACAGGTGTACCTAATAAAGTGGCCGGTGAGTGTATATTGACAACCAGAGATCCCGACCAAACTGCCTACTCAAAGAAGCACTAAAAATATAGAGATAAAAACATTACGATAAACACAGCTGGGCGTCGCAAGGAGGACTCGAACTCACAACGCATATCTGAACCAACAACGAGGGGCGAGCGCGCTGCTGTAACGCCACAGATAAGCTCGTGTACCTCTTACTTGTCATCCACTGTTTACAAGGTGTCACCACATAACCTGCTCCTATAGAGAAACACGCCCACGTTAGCTGGTGACTCCAGAAGCCTGCCCGTGTTAAATTGTGACAATCATCTCATAATACACACCATTTCTTCTTAAAAGTCTGCAACAGCGTTCTTCTTGTCATTGTTGTATATTTTTTGTGTCCAGTCTGACTGTCGTGTTGATTTGTGTGATTATGTGGTGACACCTTGTAAACAGTGAATGACAAGTATGAGGTACACGAGCCGATCTGTGGCATTACAGCAGTGCGCTCGCCCCTCGTTGTTTGTTCAGATATGCGTTGTGAGTTCGAGTCCTCCTTGCGACGCCCAGCTGTTATTATCGTAATGTCTTTATCTTTATATTTTTAGTGCTTCTTTGAGTAGGCAGTTTGGTCGGGATCTCTGGTTGTCAATATATGTGGTGACACCTTGTAAACAGTGGATGACAAGTATGAGGTACACGAACTGCTCAGTAAGCCGATCTGTGGCGCTACAGCAGCGCGGTCGCTCCTCGTTGTTAGTTCTTATTTGCGTTGTGAGTTCGAGGAACAAAACAGCTTTGATTGTCTTTGCTCTCCTTTTCAGATTGAATGTACAAACTGCCAGTATTGGCATCATTCTGACTGTGTGGGGAATCCTGATCATGATAAGGAGTATTTCTGTCCTGCATGCAGTTTTAATGAATAATCCTTTTAAAAAAGTCCAGTGTTTCATGGTCGATCTTCACAATTTATCACACATGCGTCTCACGAGTTAACCTGGGCTCTTTACACTTAGACATGGTACACTGCGATACGCCCATGAGTGACCGCTGTTGCAGACTTTTAAGAAGAAATGGTGTGTATTATGAGATGATTGTCACAATTTAACACGGGCAGGCTTCTGCAGTCACCAGCTAACGTGGACGTGTTTCTCTATAGGAGCAGGTTATGTGGTGACACCTTGTAAACAGTGGATGACAAGTAAGAGGTACACGTGCTTATCTGTGGCGTTACAGCAGCGCGCTCGCCCCTCGTTGTTGGTTCAGATATGCGTTGTGAGTTCGAGTCCTCCTTGCGACGCCCAGCTGTGTTTATCGTAATGTTTTTATCTCTATATTTTTAGTGCTTCTTTGAGTAGGCAGTTTGGTTGGGATCTCTGGTTGTCAATATATGTGAAAAGCGCTGATGTTTGTGGAGTTTTTTTCCTTGGAAGTGCCGGCGACCGTTCGAATCGGACTGAGGCTTTTGTGGCGAATCTGCGGAACAGCCAACATCTGGTTCAGATTTACCTAAAATCTCAACACTTAATATGATCACTAGTTAAACCGGAACACCGGCCCTAAGATCGGGCGGCCTCCGCTCTTCTGGCGACTAGCTCCCTGGCGTCACCAGGCGCTGGCGCAAAGAACACCTCCCTGCCGGTGTGCAGAGGGATTCCCGTGTGGCCTGGCACTGGCGGAGGGGACCCCTCTCAGTCGGTCCCTGGTCGCGTGCGGTGTCCCGGAACCCGCCTTGACCACCGCTCTGAGAGCCGGACCGCGTCCTCAGCCACCTGCAAGAGGTTTCTTCGAGAGGCAGTCCGACGGAACTCCGCCAGACCGAAATGGCAGACCATCCCCGCAGCCGCTGGCATCCACCGCACTGCCGAGTCCTCGCAGCCCACCTGCCCTGCTTCGGATACAGGAGCCATGCAACCCCCGCCGCTGTTTCCCCCAACATTTGCAACTGTGGCCGACATCACGGCAAAACTCCCCAGTCTTCTCCAGTCACTTCCTCGCTCTATCCACCGTATCATTGTTCACGTCGGCACCAACGACATGGCTCACCAACAGTCTGAACTGACAAAAAATGACTTCAGAACACTTCTCGACATCCTTCAGTGCAGTGGTCCGCTACCAACACTGACACGAAGCATCGATCGTTCAAAACTATTCCAATTACTCCAGATATTATTTGTGTGCAAGAAACATGGTTGAAACCACATTTAAATTACAGACTCAATAATTACACAGCAATTTGGTTGGCTAGAGAGGAGGGGATAGGAGGAGGTGTACTACATTTATTAAGGAAGATATTCATTTTAGTGTTGTTGGTAAGAGGAAGGAAGATGACAACAATTATTACAACCCATGCAGGAAATCAGAAATCAATAAGTTAAAAGGTATTCAAGAGCAAGCTAAGGGTCACATTATTTGGTGCGGGGATTTTAATTCACATAGCTCCTTGTGGGGAAGGAGAAAGACTGTTTCAAATGGAGAGGTATTGGAACAGCTCCTGAAGATAATAATTTGGTGTGTTTAAATGATGGAAGGGGAAGAAGGACAGATGTTAACACCAGTAAAAGTTCAGCACTGGATGTGACACTGGTTTCACAAGGGGTGGCAGAGATTTCCAATTGGGAGTTATGGGAAGAATCAATTGTTGGGAGTGATTACTATCCATTTCTATGCTCACTCCATGTGAATAAAGAAAATAAAGAAGAAGAAAGAGAAGCCAGATGGCCATTTAATAGAGCCACTGGGATCAGTTCGAATATATATATGTGAACAGGAAGGTAAGTCATTAGATTTGAGTCAAGATATCGAAGATGACGAAGACCAATATAGAGAGGTTACATTAAAAGCAGCGATGGTGACAATCCTAAGAAGCAAAGGAAAAATGGAAAGGGCATCTGTACCATGGTGGACAGAAAAGTGCAATAAAGCTATTAGGATAGAAACAAAGCATTTAAAAATCTCAAAATAGCCCATGACATGGAGAAGCTAATTGAATATAAAAAAGCACAGGCACAAGGAAGGAAAGTTATTAGACAGGCAAAGAGGGAAAGCTGGAGAAATTTTTGAGACAAAATAGGCCCTACGACTCCTATTAGCAGTGTTTGGGGAATGATTAAAAGATGAGGGGTATTAGGACAGAGTGGCAATATCCAGTATTAAAAGTTGGTTGAGAAACAGCAGTGACAAATGAGGACAAAGCTGAAATATGGATGAAATCATTTACTGAAATTCATAGCACTAATAATTTAACAGAAGATGGGAAAAAGAAGAGAGAAGAAACATATGCGGCTTCCAAACAAACCTCTTAGCCGCTGAGAGAGTATGAGGTTGGGCCCTAAAGTTCGCAACTTTGTGACGCGCTGCGGGAGGCTATGATAATTGACAGGCTGAGATCCAGAAATGCTTTTGATGCTTTTACTTAACAGCATAGAGTTATCACAGCGCAGCAAAAATGGATGAATGGAATAGTAAAGATCAGCTGATTAAACAGATAAAAAGGTGATGAATGAATGAATGAGTGGGTAGGCTCACAAGCGTGGCAAGGCGGCCGCAACAAAAATTACGGCTACTACCCATCCCTGACTCTCTCATCTGTGTCACAGGCAAGTGCACACCTTTAAACACACACATCTGCATGTGCCCCGCCCACTCCCACGTGAATCACCGCCTCCGCAAGACACACACACACGCACACACACACACACATACACACACACACACACACACACACACACACACACACACACACACACACATTCACTCACTCACTCACTCAAGCATCCTGTGCTCCTCATCTTAGACTTATGTGTCCCCTACACACCAGCCCCTAATTATTAGGTCTCACATAATAATTCACATGTCCAAACACAATAAGACACATAATAGATTATCATATCAATTTCAAAATGCAAAAATGTCCATAAATTGCTCAAGTCCATGAATAATCCATTACATTGAATATCCCTTCTTCTGGTCATCTCTATGACCGACTAGTACAAAGTCCAGCTCAAGGCCGTGAATACACAAAGTCCCTGTAGAGGTCAGCAACGTCCTCATGCTACCTCCTCTTTCTCCAGCAACAAACACACCTTGGATATGGATCTGTCCAAGCAACTGGTTCTAGTCTTAATCCGAATATGGCGAACAAATCCCTTGCAATCCGGAAAGGTTTGCAAAACACGTCCCATAATCCAGGAATTACGAGGTGCAGTACTGTCCATAAGCAAAACAAGGTCTCCTGCGACAAGGTTTCTCTGGACCCCAGTCCATCTCTGTCGTTCCTGTAACAGAGGCAGGTACTCCTTTGTCCAGCATTTCCAGAAGAGATCAGATATGTACTGAACTTGTCTCCACCTTCTCTGTGCGTACAAGTCTGCTGCTTGGAACTCTCCAGGTAGTAATGAAGGCCGGGTTTTAAGCAGTAACGGATGGTTTGACGTCAGTGCTTCCAGATCATTCGGGTCCGTGAAGGCCTTGGTGATGGGCCTGCTGTTAACAATGGCTTCCACTTCACAGAGAACTGTGTGGAGTCCCTCCTCATCCAAGCGTTGTACCTTGAGGGTGGAGTTCAGGACTTTCCTCACCCATCTGATCAGCCTTTCCCAAATTCCTCCATGATGTGATCCAGTAGGGGGGTTGAAAGTCCCCCTTGATGCCCTTTTGGGGTAACACATCATGCACCTGTGCCTGGTTCCACTGCGCAATGGTTGTTTTTAGCTCACGTTCTGCTCCCACGAAATTTGTCCCATTATCAGAGCGCAGCTTGCGCACCTGTCCTCTTCTGGATATGAAACGTCTCAGTGCATTTATGAAGGAGTCAGTATCAAGAGAAGGGGCCACCTCGATGTGAATAGCTCTCAATGCAAGACAGGTAAATATGACACCATACCTTTTCACTGTACTCCTCCTGCTCCCCACTTCGAAGGGTCCAAAATAGTCCACTCCCACACAAGTGAATGGAGGTTCATCAGGCTTAAGTCTTTCTGTGGGCAAGTCTGCCATCTGTTGGTAAACTGGAGTGGCGTTAATTCTTCTACAGATGGTGCACTTGGACAGAACTCTCCTAATGGCAGTGCTTACTCCTGTCATCCAGTATTTCTCCCTGAGCTTGGACAGCTTGATGTATATTTCTCAGCAGCAGGGTAGAAATATGAAGGTCTTTTGACAGAATGATAGGATGCTCAGACTCCAAAGGCAGTGCTGCTTTACTGAGCCGTCCTCCCACACGCAAGACTCCATCTTCCAGCCTTGGACACAACTTGTACAGGTGACTGGTTCTCTTGACATTTTGTCCCTTTTCCAAACACAAGAGCTCCTCTAAAAACTTTCTCCTCTGGCAAAACTGAATTATGGCCAGCTCAGCCTTGTCAATGTCATCCACTGTAAGAGCTCCCAGAACAGCTGCACTTTTAAATATGCCTTTTTCCTGCTCCTTCATTCTCGGTTGCTGCATGCTCTCTTCACTCTGATTGGCTGTTAGTCTTTTTCTCTTCCTGTTGCAGGACCACAACCATTCCTTGTATTTCAGCCACCATGCCACAGCTTTCTTTAATTGGATCCACGAGAAAAAATGATGGATCAGGTGAGTAGGCGGATCCTCTCCAGTTTGCACTGCATTGACAACAGCACTTTTCTTCACCTCTGGATCGTCCTGGTAGAGATGACCCACAGGCTCAGGGTTCACAGGCCATTTTGTTTCAGATTGGCAAAGAAACAGAGGTCCCGTTAACCAGAGTCTGTCATGCAGAAATGCCTCCACTTTGACCCCTCTGGATGCTGCGTCTGCTGGATTTGAAGCTGTTCCCACGTACCTCCACTGAGCAGGATGAGATGATTTCAGTATCTCTGAAACACTATCTCTGCAACAAACACCTTGAATCTGGAGCTTTCGTTGTTAATGTATTTCAACACAGAAGCAATATCAGTCCAAAATACAGACTCCTGAAGGCTCATGTGGAGCTCTTTTTTCCACAGGAGATCCATGCGGATGGCCATTGTTGCAGCAATCAATTCCATTCTTGGAATTGTAACTGTCTTTAGTGGGGCAACACGAGCTTTCCCCATAATGAAAGCACTGTGCATTTGGAGGTGCTCATTCTGTAACAGCAGGTAAATGACTGTACCATAGCCTTCCTCACAGGCATCGCAGAAATGGTGTAGTTGTGCAATAATAACATCTCCAAACTCCAGAGGTTTTCGACATCTGGGTAGTTCAAAGTTGACCAGTAGGTGGTACCCTTGCATCCACTTAAGCCACTCTTTGGAGACAGTCTCTGGTATGGGGTCATCCCAACCAACTCCTCTTCTGCACAAATCCCTCAAGATCCTTTTTGCTGTGAGAGCAAGGGGACTTAGCATGCATAAATAGAACTTACAGTTGAAAGGATGCCTCTGCGGTTGAGTGGTCTGTCCTTCAATACGATTTTGAATTTGAAGGTGTCTGACTTGATACACCACTTTACACCCAGCACTCTTTCAATGGGCACAAACTCCCACTCTCTCTCCAGATCCAACTGCCTCACGCCTTTAGCTCTATGGGGCTCTGGGATGGCCTTGAGCACTTCAGATCTATTACTGTGCCACTTGGTCAAACAGAATCCCCCTTTAGCGCACAGAGACATGAGCAGACATGACAGTTGTCATGACAGAGGGTGAGTGCTTCCTCCTCTGTTGCAGCTGATGCCAAACACTCATCCACATAGGAGCAGAGCTGCAGCTTGTCCACCGTCTCCTTCCTGTGCTCATGTCCAAAATCCTCTGCACATTTCCTGAGGGTGAAGTTGGCGCAGCTGGGGGAGGATGTAGCTCCGAAAAGGTGCACCTTCATCCTGTATTCACATGGTGCTTGGCTCAGGTCTCCTTGTGGCCACCAGAGGAATCGCAGCAGGTCGGCATTATCTGGGGGCACTCGCACTTGGTGAAACTTAGCTCCTATGTCAGCCATGATGACCACAGGTTCCCTCCGGAACCTGGTCAAAACTCCAATTAATGAGCTGGTTAGATCGGGCCCTTGCAACAGCTCTTTGTTCAGATTTTGTCCTTTGTAACTGGCACCACAATCAAACACCACTCAGAGTTTTCCTTTTGTCGGATGGTAGACACCATGCTGCGGTATGTACCAAACCCTGC